GAGTGAGAAATTGAGAGAGAGAGAAAGGGAGAAAGCAAGCCACCAGGTCTGGGATTCAAACTGTGGTCAGCCACGTGGGAGTCCAGTGCCCTTAACCACCACGCCACCTGCTGGTCCCAAATGTACATTTTAAAAATGTGCCTATAATAAAAAAGCATTGATGGATATGTTTTGGCCCATTTTGCATAATTATAGAAAACTTAAATGGGTCTGCTCTCCACCCCTCCCTCCATCAAGTGGGCACCTGGTAAGTGTTTTCAATTAATCTTCAAGGACTAAGGAACCATTAATGTCTTGGACTCAAATTTATTAACCAGAGGGAGGGTTGGGTCCTGGCTGAATCTGTGCCCAGTATGGCAACGCCTGCTCATGGCTTGGTGTTTTGGGCTGAGCTCAACATGTGGGAGTCGGACTAAATGTATTAGACAGACTGGAAGTCACCTGGTTGCAATGGAGCTCAATAAGGCGGACACAGGTACCTGCTTCCATATCTCATAAACAAGTTCTTGTGATCCTTCAGAAGTGCTGGGCTATTCTTGAACCCATTTAATGAAAAGTGCCTTTTCACCTGATATTACCCTTTTCTTTAAGATGTCGACAATTTCCTGACTAATCCTCAGACCCTCAATCTAATGATGGCAGAAAACAAAACCATTGTGGCCCCCATGCTGGAGTCCCGGGGCCTGTACTCTAATTTCTGGTGTGGAATCACCCCTCAGGCAAGTGGTTCGATTCATGAATGAAGGCTCTGAATTGTAACGAGGTGGCACTGCCTCAGCTGTAGCTCCATTCGCCCTTTCCTCCTCCTTCTCGTGAAACATACATGTCGTTGTGTGCCTAGAGCAGGCGTTTTCAGGGAAGACTGTAAATCCAGGTCCAATGCCACAACCCAATGGACTCTACTGTATTAATTAATCATGAAGAAAATATTCTAAATAACTTAGCCTTTGAAGATTCAAATTAACCAGTAAAATATGGGATTTCCACTTTCTCCTCATACTGATTCAGGGATTTTTTTTTTTTAAGACTGAACTTTTTTCTTTGTGGTCATTACCAAACTAATGTTAAGAATGCTTTAGAAAAACTGAGAAATAAAAAAAAGTTTAAAAAGAAAAAGTTAACCCTCACTACTATAACAACACCATAGATAGAAGCTGGCACTTTTAAAATAACTACGTTATTATCAAGAGGCTGTAGCGCAGTTTACATAAACTTTGTCTTGGTTTGAACATTTAAATTATTTACAACTTTTAGCTGTTATATTGACCTGCTATAATGATTAATGTGAATTTTTCTGTATTTATGATTATTTCTTTAGGATAGCTTCTTAGAAGTGAAGTTATTAAGTTAGAGTACAATGTTTTTTTTTTTTTATAGACCACAGATTAGTTTATTTTTAACACCCATCACACCATAAATTCATAGATTCATAGGGAATAGGTTCCAGTAGCTCAGGCTCCTTTCCATTGGTTCTCACAAAGTGTGCTTCTCTGGGTGGAGCAGGCTGAAGCTTCAGTTGAACCCAGGTACCTTTCTCTTTAGCTTCTTTCTTTTTCTGGTCATTTTCCTTCACACGTTTTAGGAAGCTATCTCTGCTCTTAGAATGGGTAATATGCTCAATACGCACATTAATTCTCTTGGCAAGAATCTTGCCCTTAACTTGTTCACAACAATGCAAACAGCATGCTGGGTAACATTGTAGACTCTTCCAGTTTTGCCATGGTAACATTCCTGGGGCATTCCTTTTTGAACAGTACCCATTCCCTTGATGTCTACAATATCACCTTTCTTGTAGATTCGCATATATGTTGCCACAGGAACAACTCCATGTTTTCTAAAAGGCCTAGGGAACATATATCAGGTGCTTCACCTCCTTCCCTTTGTGTTCGTCATTTTGGTTAATTACTGAAAGATGGCCGTTCCAGCCTAAAGGAAGCAGAGTATAAATATTTTAATGGCCCTTGATATATGTTGCTAAATTTATATCTGAAGAATTCTAATAATAAAAACTTCCAGGACCAGCAGTTGGTGTAGGGGTTAAGGTGCTGGAATCCCACACGGTTGATTGCAGTTCTAATCCTGGACCTGACAGCTTGAAAATCATGCCATGTGTGTCCAAAATCCTGAGAGCAGAATGGAAGAGAATGGATTGGGGCATGGCAATCCACCCTGAGGGGATGATTTCTCACTTTCTTTTTTTCTCTCTGTTCTGATGAGCACACATATCCTATGGCAAAAATAAACAAACAAACAAACAAAAAAACTCCCATGATAGCTTCAAAAAAATTCCAATTTAAAAATATATTTTGTATTTCCATCATTTCTGTTTTCCATAGTAAAATCTTCAAAGTCTGGGGAAATCTTATAGAGAAGGTTTATAGCTGGTTTTATTTTTTATTCTTTCATTAATGAATTAGAGAGAAATTAAACTGGTCAAGGTACTGCATGTATCCATGTAGAATAAAAACCTGCTAAGGAAAAAGAGCATGTTAAATGTGTTCTTTTGGCCAGAGGGCTAAATCTTGAGTATCTTATATCTGTTCGATCTGGGATGAAGAATGAAACCAGTGGTCTCTTGATACACGTTTCATAACTGGCTCTGTTGGGGGGAACATCCCAGTGGGTAGCATTTGCCAATTTTTTGGGGGGGGGTATAAGAATTCCTACCATGCAATCAACTCAAAAGGTTGAGTAAACTGCAGTAGAGTTACGTTGGTGTAGTTATTTAACATGTGTGAAGCTGCTGTCTGTCATGTTAGAGTGATGAGGATTAACGTGATTTTCGTTTTCACAGATTTCAAGCTATCGACATGTCAACTGATTTGCAAAATTCCTAAAAATTTAACTATGAGAAACTTCTGTACACCACTGGATGGAACATTCCTCTTTTATTGTAATGCTTCCCTAATTTCAAGATATTTCAAATACATGTTATTATTCATACCTCTTTTTAGGAAGGAATAAGTTCTTATTTATAAAGGGCATTGAGTTCCTTGGGAGAAAATGTATGTTAGGTCAGTTTAAACTCTCTCTTAGTTACCATCTGCAGTGTTTCACAGGGCAGAGTCACTGAGGCTTGTGTTGAATGAGTTAACGCTTTGACACCAGCAGTAAGGGTCAGTTATCCTAGTGACCTCAGCCTCCAAGTTGCTGTTATCTCCTTATGGACTTCAGTCATTAAAAGGAAGTAGGAGAGGGACCAGCAGTTAATGTAATGGCTATGTTGCTGGACTCCCATGTAGTCGACCGTTGTTCGAGTCCCGGACCTGGTGGCTTAAACTCACGCCAGACAAGTGTGCGTGCGTGCCCAGGATCCTGAAAAGAGAATAGAGGAGAAGGGATGGCGGTGTGGCCATCCCCCCTGGGGGGTGATTTCTTGTTTTCTGTCTCTCTCTGTCTTTCTGGCGAGCGCACACACCCTATAGCAAAAAAACCTCTCCAAAAAAAAAAAAAAAAAGCAAATAGGAGAAATTTGCTCACTTGTTTTGGAGAGTAACCCTGAATTTGGAGCAACTTAGAAACGATTCTAATTTTCCGCCATGTATTTTTGGCCTCTTCCCATCCTAGTCAGCCCTCTGCTAGGGCAGGAACAGAAACAGCCAATGACTTCACAAACTCGAGGCAGGCACTGGTTTTTCAGAGCCTTTAAACACATCCGGAACAAGCCAACCTTGGTGGTGTCTGGCCAACGAATAGGGATTATTACCAATAACATGACTCAGTTTATGTGGAAAAAAAGTCACATCTATCACCTCTGCCTCTCCAAGAAGCGTATTAATACCGTCTCTCCCTCCCCTTTCTCTGCCTCCATCCCTTGGACACCCTCCTTCAGGGTATTTAGTGATTCATTTTCATCATGAATTTTCCAAGCTTCTCATTCTGAGAATATTGTTCCCAAGCAATCTAGAACTTTATATTTGACATGAGTCCTCAGGCGATCCTCTAAAGAACAGTATTCTCTCTATCCCTTAGAACACTGATAAACTGAAGTGTTAGGTGAACCCACATGGGAATGTGAAGCAATCTTTAAGTTAAAGATTTTTTTAAGTGTAGTAATAGTATTTCTATAATGAATTACAGTTACCAAAGAATTATTCATGTGACCCATTCTACAGCCTTAGACTGTGGACAAAGCAGTTAATGTCCCATTTTTCAGGAGAAGAAACTTAGATTCAAAGAAACTCAGAATCATAGATGAAAACCAAACACCTAGAAGATGGCTAAGATGACTCTAAGGCTCCTGTCTTCTTTTTATTTTTCTTAAGAATTATTTACTTATTTAGTTCCATTTCTTCTTATTATTTTTAAATTTGACCAGAGAGAGAGAAAGGGAAAGTGAAAAAGCAAGCCACCAGCTCTAGGATTTGAACCACAGTTGATCATATGGAAGTCCAATGCCTTAACCACCACACCACCTGCTGGCCCCAAGACTCCTATCTTCTAAGTCTTTTTTTTTTTTTTTTGCCAGACAGAGAGAGAGAGACAGAAAGTGAGAAATCACCGCCCAGGGGGGATGGCTACGCCACAATCCCTTCTCCTCCGTTCTCCTCTTAGGATCTTGGGCACGCACGCACAAGCGCCCGGCATGAGTTTTAAGCCACCAGGTCCATGATGCGAACCGCGGTCGACTACGTGGGAGTCCAGTGACATAGCCATTACGCTAACTGCTTGTCCCAATCTTCTAAGTCTTAATTCATGATTTTTCTACCTCATCCCTTGGTCAGCGTTAGGACTGGCTTAGCTAGAACACTCTTCCAGACACTGCAGGGAATGTTAGAGTTAGAAGAGGAGCAGGCCTGGTGTGGGGCCGCTGACATAACAACGGGAGACACATCCATAAAGGAAAGTGACTGATTAATGAACACGTAAGAATGTGCAGCCAGGGAGTATTGTTTCCTTCAGAGTGCTGGCCTTGAAAATGCACTAATAATTCCAGGAGTCTGCCATCAGGGAGTCTTCCATCACCCAGAATATTTTTTGAAATTCCTTTAAAGCTACCACATGCATTTAAGTATGTCTTCTTGAGATACATCTTTATCTTTTCTAGATTTAAGCTTTGGACACAGTCGAGTTATTATCTGTGCCACTGGAGTGTGAGTTCCTCTACCAGTCTCTGCACTCTGTGGGGGCAAGACTGGGGTTGGCTCAGTCACTGATAAACCTCCAGCAGCTAACACAGTACCTGGATTATAGTAGGTGCTGGGTAGATGTTTGCTGAATGAACAGTGGAGTCTGCACGCAAAACAAGATAGGTCCTATCAAGGTTGTTTCAAAGCAGTGCGCTTAAAATCACAGAGTAAGGGAATTTGTTGTGCCATGTGCTTGGGAAGGAGTACATTTCAAATGGTGAATCCTCTCAAAGTGTGGAGCACTTGTAGGAATTTTGAATAAGCATAGTGAAATAAAATCCTTTCAGATGTCTAAGTAATGAATGCTCAATGAAAAGTATGACCCATACTGTAATGCCATTGTTTTAAATTGTCAGACAGTACGTGTGCTTGCCAGAGAGGCAGAGAGAGCAAGCGTATCCCAAGGGGGCATGGTAAACCCTGTAATCTCTTCTCTTCCAGTCTCCTCTCGGGATTTTGGACATGTGTGCACATGCACCTGGCATAATTTTCAAGTGGTTGGGTTCAGGGCTTGAACCACGGTTGGCCATGTGGGAGACCAGCACCTTAACCACCGTGCCACCTGCTGGTCTCAACATGGCTTAATTTTAACAGACAACAGAATGGAGTAGATAGTACCATCATCCCTATATTAGAGATGACAAAATAGGCACAGCAAGCTTCAGGCACCTCATCCATACTTTAAGTAGCTGAGGTGGGCTTTGAACTCAGGCAATCTAATACCAGAATATGTATTCTTAACTACATGCTCTACCACCTCATACTTCATACTTCATATTCAATCATCAGTCAACATAGCATGTATTTGTATGTACTGGGGACAACAGGTGGTGTAGTGATTAAAGAGCTGGACTCTCATATGGCTGACTAATGTTCAAGTCCCAGACCCAGTGGCTTGAAAATCATGCCAGGTGTGTGTGCGTGCATGCCCAAAATTCCAAGAGGAGAAGGGATTGTGGCATGGCCATTCCCCTGGGTGGTGATTTCTCACTTTCTCTCTTTTTGTCTTTCTCCAGTAAGCACACTGATCTTATAGTCAAAAAAAACAAAAATAAATAAGTAAAATAAAATACAAATCACTTATATGAAATAATTAAATGAAAATATATGCTGAGGGACCAACAGATAGCATAATGGCTGTGTTGCTGGACTCCCATGTTGACGACAGTGGTTTTAGTCCCAGATCCAGCAACTTCAAACTCATGCTGGGTGCGTGTGAATACATGTCCAAAATCCTCAGAGGAGACTGGAAGAGAAGGAATTGTGACCTGGTCATCCCCCCGGGGGGAGGGGTCATTTCTCGCTTTCTGTCTCTCTGGCGAATGTAAGCACCCTATAGCAAAAATTTCTCTAAAAAACAGCAAACATAAAGGATATGCTGAAATCAAAATTATTTCTCACATCAAGACTCTTTCTGTTTCATATGTAGATAGTGGGGTGTTTTTTTTTTTAGCTCAATTGGAAATTCTTGGGCCAAGATATGAGAAGTGAAGGTGACTTTTTCTGGAAGCTTCTGTTCAACTGGTTTGTCTTAGAAGGAACCAGCCTAGCAAATGATTGGAAGAGATGAAGCTATCTTATAAGTGTTTTTTTTACAGGGCTTCTATAAGCGGACCCCAGACTACCTTCAAATTCGAGAGTGGAAGAGGATGGGCTGCTTTCCCGTCCCCATGGTCCACTCCACCTTCCTGATTGATCTCAGAAAGGAAGCCTCTGACAAGCTGGTGTTCTACCCACCACATCCGGACTACACCTGGACCTTTGATGATATCATCGTCTTTGCCTTCTCCAGCAGGCAAGCAGGTACCTCTTGTGTTTGGCTATACTGACCACAGAAATGCTACAAATGACTGGCCCCTTTATTTCATGCATCTTATTTACAAAGTGCAACCATTTCAGTAAAAATATGCTTCCTCTTCAGGTAGTTTGAAAGACAACTGTCTGTAGTAACCACAACAGTACACCCTGTGTATCACTCCTCCTGTGAGCACCAATGACCAAGAGCCAGGACTGGCCCCTACCCAGGAATCCTCTCTCATTTTGAGATGGATTTGGTGGGGAATGAGTACTGGTTGTTGTGGGAGGGTGACTGATTTCCTATGGTGCTATACATTGCCATCATCTATTATAAAAGTCCCTTAATTAGTTAGAGAACTGTGACAAAGTCTTAAAACAATCCTGGCAAAGACTCCAAATATAAAAAAAAAATGAAGTTTATTTTTTCTCACAACAGTGTGAAGTGTTCAGAGTCTAGGCTTTTTGTGTAATGCTTCTCCACCCTCCATGAGGATCCGCACTTCATTGAAGGATCCAAAGTGTCTTCCCACCAAGGAATGTACCAGCCTTGAAAGTGGCCATTCTCCATTTGTCAAGGGTATAATCCATGCACATCCCATCAGCTAGAACTCAATCACAGGTCAACACCTGGCTGTAAAGGAGACTCCGAATGTTGTCTTTATTCTTCACAGTCATGAGCTCCTTTCCTTCAGTCTAGAAGGAGAAAAGCGATACTGTGAGGCAAGCAGCATGCCCTGCCTCAGTTTAGTGGAAGGAGAGACAAAGCCAGACGTCACTCTTTCATGGGAAAGCAATGGTTGTCTGTAGGCTTTATGAGAAAGACAAGTTAGTATGACACAGAAGGACATCCAAGTCCAAGGAGGACTTGGAAGCAAATCAAGTTATTTCTGTCTCTCTCTACGCATGCCATCAGGGAGGCCATCGTGTTGTAATTCACAAAAGCCATTCAACAGGAAGATGCAGGACATCGCTGAAGCAAAGTTTTATTAGGATAATTCAGATCCTCCCAACAGAAGTCACGCCCTGTTGTCAATGTGCCAGAAAGGGGCCAGTTATCCTCTAGAGTTTACAAACCAAGAAGATGGTGAATAAGTTCACTGTGGCCATGTAAGTCAGTATGAAAACGATCATGCAAAGGTCCCAGGTCGTTGACAGGATTGCTGGCAGATTAGAATATTAATACAAATTCAAGCTGCAACTCACACATCAGGCCCTCCCTAAAGCCACAGGTATCCTGCTAATTAGTTATAGATTTGGTAGGAAGGAAAATATTTGGGAGAAATTTGTAAAGCTGAAGATACCCCCACACCTCCCTTAGCCCCCTACAACTAGAGCAATTTAGGCTCTGTGGCCAGGTGCATTTTTTAGGCCTTATGCCAATGCAAAAGCAATGCTCAAGTGGGTCAGAGTTTTCCCAAAGGTTCTTGTGTCAATATTAATGGAAACCACTTCTTTCAGAGTGGCCCATGATTTGCTTTGATGTCTCCAGGACAGGAAGCAGAGGCGAGATCTTCTTATTCCTTCAAGATGTGCCAGTTCCTCTATTTCAGATCGTGAATTAAGGATGGTCCAGAAAATGGGATATTAACAATTACAATATGGTCATTGCCTAACAGAGTTCTCCTCTGCAGCCATTGCAAGAGACATTATTGTGACCCCATGCATGAAATTATTATATTTTTTAAAGCCAGTACCTGGATGTTTGGGCTGGAAGAGTGACACAGGTTAATAGAAATTTTTCAGCTCTTTGGGCCAGCAAGTGGCATGGTGGTTAAGGATGCTGGATTCCCACGTGGCTAACCGTGGTTTGAGTCCCGGACCTGGAGCCTTGCTTTCTCACTCTCCCCAACCCCCCTCAGTCTTTCACTCTGTCCCTCTCTCATCAAATTAAAATAAATAAGTAAACAAATAAATAAATAAAGTTAAATAAAATAATTCTTTTTTTTTTTTTGAGAGAGAGATTTTCACTGTAGGGCGCGTGCGCTCGCCAGACAGACAGAGAGAGACATAGAGACAGAAAGCGAGAAATCACCCCCCAGGGGGGATGGTCACGCCGCAATCCCTTCTCCTCCATTCTCCTCTCGGGATCTTGGGCACGCACGCACACGCGCCCGGCGTGAGTTTTAAGCCACCAGGTCCGGGACACGAACCGCGGTCGACTACGTGGGAGTCCAGCGACATAGCCATTACGCTAACTGCTGGTTCCCTCTTTTTTTAATAAAGGAAAATTTTCAGCTTTGTCCTTTCCTTGGCCTATTCACAAAAGCTTTAAGCTTTATTGATCAGACTTCCCAAAGGCCTTTTCAGGACATCGAACGCAGGTGTCTATGCACAAAACGATTCGGTGATTCATTTGGGGAGAAGAGAGAAAATGAAGAGAGAGGGGATCAATCCACAAGTCTTTATGTTTGTTCCTGGCATTGCGATAGACTGTTAGTTGAGGAGATAGGACTTTTGCATGCAAAAGCTTATTTACCAGTTTAGGAAGCAGTAAATACTGAAGACTAGATCAGTCTACAAACTATGAATGCAGGCATCAAGGCAGGAAGTAACTGCTCTCATCTGGGGGGAGATGAAAGAAATTTTCCAACAACTCTGTTGTTCTAAGGTTGTATTATTCCTATCTTAAAATATTTTTGGGACCAGCAAGTGGTGTGCTGGTTAAGGCGCTTGACACTCTCACATGGCAGACCACGATTCGAGTCCTGGACCTGGTGGCTAGCCTTTTCACTTTCCTCTCTCTCTGTGTGTGTCTCACTCTGCTCAAATTAAAATGAAGGAATGAATAAACAAGTAAATAAATAAATCTTAAAAAAATATTTTCAAGAGAAACATGAATGCACATGGGAATCATGTGATGCCCATGGAGTGTTTCTAACCTCTTTCTCTGTTAGGGCCAAAGCTATAGATTTCCCCTCTCCATTGAAAGAGTCTTGATGAAAATGATCAAGATTCCTTTGTTCTCATCTTTTGAGGCTCCCTAGCAGTGTACCTTCCACTGGTGCATAATTTTTTTAACTGCCTAATAGGAAACAAAAAGTATTCACGCCCCAGACAGATCTTAATACAATCTTCAGTCTTAAATCTTTCACTTTAGAATGTAACCAGTGCCACATCACGTATGAGTGATGAGTGAGAGGGGCCTTCCAGGGTGCTAGTGGGCTGGACTTGGCTGCCCATTTAGCCCAAGAAGAGAACATGGTCATAGGCAAATCTCTGTGGTTATAATAAGAACAGTGTCAAGAGTTCATCTCCCATTGTGGCCAGTGATCTAGGCTCTGCATTATGGCCACAGGAACCATCCCTGGCGCCAGCCAGTCATCTTCTAAATGTCTACTGTGAGTCAAAAGAGGCAAGTGATGTGAGTGGTGGGCAGGCACATCTGTCTCCTGAACACCACTGGTAGTGATCAAAAGTGCTCCCCCCCATGTATTGGGGCAACAATCCCTGATAAGTGGTCTTAAGATCATCTATGAGCTACTGAATCCTGGGTGGGTAGAAAGTACTTGGCATTGGCTTTTTAGGGGCAAAGATTTGGCATTGATGATTTACTGTGTGACCTCAGACAAGTCAGGGCAACAATCCCTGATAAGTGGTCTTAAGATCATCTATGAGCTACTGAATCCTGGGTGGGTAGAAAGTACTTGGCATTGGCTTTTTAGGGGCAAAGATTTGGCATTGATTTACTGTGTGACCTCGGACAAGTCACAGCCCTCTCAGAGTCTTATTTTCATCACCAAGGATAGAGAAAATTATATAAATCTACACTGCTAAAGTACCTTGTAAGTACAAGAAAATGTTTGATAGCTTTAGAAGAAACGCAAAGTCTTTCAAAGTGTATCATTCCCCTTTCTTTTTCAAAGGGAAAATTGTTTTCCCAGAATCAAATTTCACGGAGTGTACCAGATTCCTTCATAGACTTTAATTATTTATTTATTTATTTATTTATTTATTTATTTAGGCTTTTGCCATAAGATGCATGCACTTGCCAGAGAGAGAGGGGGGGAAAGTAAGAAATTACTCCCTTGGGGGGAATGGCCATTCTGCAATCCTTTCTACTCTATTCTCCTCTTGGGATTTTGGGCATTTATGCACACGTGCCCAAGATACTTTTCAAGCCACCAGGTTTAGGGCTTGAACCACAGTTGGCCATATGGGAGTCCAGTGCCTTAGCCTCCATGCCATTTGGTGGTCCTGCTTCATAGACTTTATCTGATTATCAATAGGTTTGCTTTTTAATGTTTTTCAAATCAAGTTTTAATATCACCCCTGCACTGTTTCTCTCTTCCAGAAGACAACCACTTTACCTATTTTAGATTATTATACTAGTATAATGTTTATATCAATGTTTCTAAATAACATGATTGTATTGCCACTTTTTGATTTTCTGGCTTTACATTAGGCATTATCTATTAATGCTTCACTCCAGAAGATAAATAATTAGCTCTCTCTCCTCTCTTTGGCTCCCATGTGCAAATGCATTCTTCCCATCACTCTGTCCTGTCAGCAAAACTTAAGATAGATCAATGGTCAGTACTTTTGTTGTTATAATCCTGTGAACCTAATTCCATGCTGAAAAAATTTTGACTATGGTTGATTTTTCCTTAGTAATTATCCTTTTTCTTCTTCTTTGCTTACTTTATTATTACTAATACAAAACAAAACTAATCACTAATTTTTTAAACTGTCAGATTCATTAGATGTTCTTTATTGGAGCCTCTGGTACACTGTAATTTGAGTAGTGCCGCAGCTATCCACCTGGTACTCATTTATCTTCTCTTAGGCATTGACTATCCTGTTTGTGTCCCAAATCTTTCTCATTAGTTGTAGTGTTTCTCCTCTTTCTCTTCCTCCTCTTCTTCTTTGTCCTCTCCTACCTCTCTTCCTCCTCATTCTCCTGAAATTTCACTCAGTTACTTTCTTAGAGAATGTGATGGGAAGTACCTATTTCATGATTTTCCATGCCTTAAAATGCCTTTATTGTATCCTCACAGCTGATGGATAGCTTGGCTAGGTATCATATTTTCTTTAGCTGGATGCTTTGGAAAGTTAAAAGGAAAAATGGTTTGGCTAATTAGGGTAGAGAGGCCTAAGTATTAAAAAAATTTTTTTCACTTCCTGAATTCATCATGATATTGCATGAAGGTGCATTTTGGTTTAAAGTTCTCCCAGAACCATTCGTGTGGGAAAACAGCAAGGCTAGTGAGTTCACTTGGTGAAGGCAAGAAAAGTGACAGTGCCCACTGGACCAGCTGTGATTTCAGTCAGATTCAATAAAAGTAGTGGATAAAGACTCTTTTCTTTTCCCATTCTTCTCTATTAATGCCATGAGACAGCTTCTTTTGATTTAGCAGGTGATGCGGCTGACTGGAGGAAATTTCATCTGCACAAAATTGAAAAGTCACTATGCAAATAATTCTCAGGAACACACTGATGATTATAGCAATTAATAAATCAGAGGCTTGGGCACATGGACCAGAGCTTGGCAGACTCATCATTTTAATTGAACAATCTTTACATCTGTCAGAACTGTCAGTTGCTGGATCTACAAGGGGACTTCAAAAATTCTATACAAAATGCAATAAAACATGAGTTTATTTTGGTATAAAAAAATTAAAATCCATACAGTTTTTTCATAATACACATTTTCCATAAACTCTTTGAAGACATCGCATATATGAGATCATCTTGATTCCTATATTCCAAGCTGTCAGGTTGAACACAGATGCTTTATAATCCTTGGGGTTAACCACCCAGGGCGGTGAAGATCACTGTTGACTATGAGAGGACTATGGGCATATTTCTGGCACTGTCGTACTGCAGATTCTTAATGGAACCTGAAGACTTTCTTTTGTCCCCTCATGAACTTATTTTGGAAATTTCATGCCATTGATTGATTCCAAATCCATGTCTGCTAAGAGAAGAAATAAAACCAAAGAGAATCATAGAGAATTTTAAAATTCCTTTTTTTCCCCATTTTTTGTTCTATGCATGTCCAGATTTAGCTCTGATAATCTGTCAGCCTTACAGGATTTTACTGTTTGCTTTCATATCAAATATGGATTTCATTCCTCATTTTCTTGTTATTTCCTGTAGATGGATTATGGTGTTCCATTCTGTTGTCTGGAATGGGAATTCCTTGCCTCCTTTTTGATCTCTTTATGCCTTTTGTGTTCATTCTTTTTCTTCAGAGAGAGAGAGAGGAAGAGGAGAAAAAAAACACAATTTCCTCTGGGCCAAAGAATGTTCAAGGGTTTTTATTAGCCCCTGATGCTGTGTTTTCCTTTTTAATAAAGAAGCACTTTTATAGTCTACAGACAGTACCTAAAACAACCTCTTGTTCACTTGCTGTGTCAGATGCAGCATCAGCCATCCTCCATTCTCTGTCTTCAGTTGTTGCTGAGAAGTGTATTTTCTGATTGGTCCATTGTATCCCTCTTTCAAAAACCTCAGGCATCCAGATGTACCTGTGCAACAGAGAGCACTATGGCTACCTGCCCATTCCCCTGAAGCCCCATCAGACCCTGCAAGAGGACATCGACAACCTCATCCACGTGCAGATAGAAGCAATGAGTGAGTGACCAGAAGCCCGAGCAATGGCTCCTGCTCCATTGCCACAGTGACTATCCCAGCCACTTATGTCCTCTGCCAGGACTGGAATCTCATTATCATCAGTCTTCCTTGACTAAAACATATAGCTCATCAGGAAAGTCACGGATTTTTATGTTTTTCTATGCTAAAATGCATCATGACTTTCCTGACAACCCAATAGTTCTACATTTGCTCCTTCATTCTTAAAGTTTTCCTATGTGATGTATGAATATGTCAGGGTCTTTGCTTTCGAGGAGATTCCCATCCTGGTGGAGCTTTGAGCACTCAAACATTTCCCACACAATGTATGCTAAGATAATATTGGCTTATTGGAAAAGTCATGATGCATTTTTGTACAGAAAAACAGAAAAAAAGATGTCATGACTTTTCTAACAACCCAATATTTTGTGGTGGGATTTAAACCCTAACTTTACTGCTTTCTAATTGTATGACTTTTGACAAGTAACCTCCTTAGTTATGAAATAGAGATAATGAAAACTGCCAGAGTTTTTGGTAGGTTTACCACGAAATATTAATATATAAAAAGCTTAATGCAGCAATAATTATGACTTCACCATAATAATAGCTTATGATGTAACAGATGCCATGTTAGCCACTTTATGAACATTGTCTCATTCATTGTCACAACTGGAATCTTCTGCTAAACAAAGAACAGACTGGGATTTGAGCCGATCTTACTAACTCCAAAGCTATTGTCCTTAGATGCTGTATTGTTATTACCTCAGGGTCTAGCATGATGTTGGAATTGGCCTACCCAATAATCAGTAGCTGTACTTATTATTATATGTACTGTACAAGGGTGGTAAAAGCAGACAGTAACTGATCCACCAGCTCTAAGAGAGGATGTTGGAAACGGCTTCCCATAGGTGGGAATATGTTCTCTTCTTCACCACTAGAATACAGGGTTGAATATGTGGGCAGTGGAGGTGGGTGGGGAGGCCCAGCAGGCAATGAGATTGAAAGGCCAAAGGGAGGCCAGGTGGATCTCTAAAATAAAAGAAGGTATTTAGGCTTTTCCTGAAGAGAGTAGAATGGGCTGTTAGCCCAGAAACGTGAGGTTGAAATTTGCTTAGAAAAGTCACTCTAGTGATAAGGAAAGTATGAATGGAGTGTGGGTAGGCAGTAGATGGTCAGAGGCCAGAGTCAAAAGGCCATTTTGTATATTACGTGGCAAGCTAGGCAAAGGATGGTGAGGACCTGAGCTGGAACAGTTGCAATAGGGAGGGAGGAGGAGAAATGGGGTGAGAGAAATTTACGAAACAGACTTGAAAGGATTTAGCCAAGGGTAGCTGTGGGTAGATGAGCAAGAGAGAGGCGTAGAGAAAGATCCCCAAGTTCTAACTTGAGTGTCTGGAATAACTAGGAATTTTAAATATGATAGGGCATGTCGAATAAAGGAGAGGCTTGAAAAGAAAAACAAGTTTGTTTTTAGACCAACTGCCTTTTATCTGCGATTATCTGTCTCCTTCCCTCATGAATCCAGACTATAAATTCATTTTTTATTGTGTTAGTCTCAGTACATAGCACATTGAGCAGCTGATAGATACTAAGTAAATATTTATTGAATGAATAAATGAATGATGGAATAAGGAGCTGGTTCATTGGGACCATATTTCCTTAGTCCCTCTCCCCTTAAGAATCTCTTTAGTGAACGTCTTTAATGCATGCTGTTTCTGC